CTAGAGAAAAAAGGCTATTTTGGCTCACCATTTCAGAAGTTTAGTCCATGGTGGGCCAAATCCATTGCTCTGAGCCCAAGGTGAGGCAGAACATCATGGCAGAAGGACATTGTGGAGGAGTACTGCTCTATTCTTGACAGCCAGGAAGCAGAGAGAGAAGCCAAAAGGGGAAGCAGGAAAGATGCACCCTTCCAGGAAATGCTCCAAGTGACCCACCTCCTAAACCACACCCCACTTGCATAGGGTATCATACAAATATGATGAACTGTCTAGCTCTTATAATCTAATTATTTCACCTCTGAATATTCTTGGATTGACACAGGAACTTTTTTTTTCCAGCCCTGTAATTTATTTTAAATTGACAATAGTAATTATCTATAACTTATGAGGGACAATATGATGTTTTGATATTAGTATATATTGTGAAATTATTAAATTAAACTAATTAACAACACAAGAACTTTTGAGGGACTCCTCATGTCTAAACCATAATACCTGGCAATAGGCAATAAATGTATTAACATATATGCGATCGATCTTTAATTTATTATACAAAATTGCACATTGTTTATCATAGGTCTTAAGTAATATTTATTGTACATCATGGTTGATGATTTAATATTATAAAGTGAGTGTCAATATTTGGAGGTGTGAGTGTGTTTTATTTCTCTGTGTATATATAGGGGAGTGAGAAGACTGGAATTAATTAGCTTATAAAGTATATCTTAGATTAAGTCATAATTTCACCAAAATAAGAGATGGTTTGGTTTGGAGTTTGGAGTTTGTTGTTGGTTGTGGTTTGGTGGAATATCCAGCTTCTCAAACTAGCCATTGCTAGTTCCACCTGACAGGAATGCTTCTGGAATGATGCCAAACTAGTGTTTTCAAGAAGAAATAAAATGTAACCTCCAGCCATAGTAGCCAATAGATTTTTAAGGGAGGTGTCACATTTTCCCTTTAAATCATAAGTAATATATTTTAGCTTTGTTTCTGTTTTATTATATTGGATTTGCTTAATATTGTGGTAAAATGATCTGGAATAATGAATTTTGTTTCCCAAAGTTTAACTCTTTTTCATATGTTCTTGCATATGTAAAATTACCCTATCTGTAGTTATATTTTAATCTTAGTTTTTTCTTTAAGGAACTACTATATGATATGTGTAGATAAATGTATGTATCTCTTACACACATATATATGTATGTATGTATCTCACATATATAAGTGATATATATGTGATAAATGTGGAGTACCTAATGTTTTACATTTTGTAAGTAATCTTTGCCAGGTTGATTGTAAATGCCTTTGGATATATTTGGCTCTTTTTATCCTTGTTTAAATAAGCTGATGTCAGAGTACACTGCTTATAGAAACATGATATGTTTAGTAAACTGTGAAGAAGAGACATTTCAGACATAACAAAAGGTATGAAAATAGCTTATTTTCGTCCCCCTTAAACAAGTCCTCCCCTTATCTGTGGTTTTGATATCTGTTTAAGCTATCAGTAATCACCCGTATTCTGAAAATGTGAAATCAGAAATGTCAGAGTTTGAAAGAGAATAAGAGTACATTTGTAGAACTTTTATCATAGTATATTATTACTGGCAATATGTGTGTTCTATTTTATTATTGTTAATTTCTTTGTTTAATTTATAAGTTAAACTTCATCCTTGGTATGTTATGTATGGGAAAACAATAGCATATAGAAAATTATACACTATCTGTAGATTTGGGCATCTACTGGGGGTCTTGGAATTTATCCCTCATGGATAAGGAGGGACTTTTGTAACAATATGGTATAAAATTCTTCTAAAATTTAAAAAATAGTTTTACATATTTATGTGTTTTCTGGTTTTTCTTCAGGTAATTATACTGCTTGGAACAAAAAATTTGGAAAAATTAAAAAGTTAAAAAAAAATTCCCAAAAGTATCCTAATCCCACCAACCAAAGAAATTACTTTTACCTTTCTGATGTATGCTGTTATATTTTTTTCTATCTTCATGTGTATGTATTTACAGAATTCTTTAACAAAAATTTTGTCATGTTTGAGAGTTTGTTTTTTTTGCTTTAAAAATTTTTGACAGTATTTTTTTAGGCCAATTACTTTGTGTGTACATGATGTGTTTGTGTGTTCCAGAGAGAGATATCAAACCCAGAGCCTTATAAATGCTTAATGTGTGTTCTTACATTTGTTTTAAATGGGAAAATTGTGTTTGATAGAAAAGAAATAAACATGAGATCTGGATATGTAGAGTATATTAAACTTTTTAGGCTAGTGTGAATGGGGATAGAGGGTTCTTGGAGAAGCAGTTAATTTTATCTGTACTGTTCGGCATGACTTAAAGATCAGGGGTAGGATCCTTTATCTGATTACAACTATTGCTTTGATCACTGACTTGTGAGCATTTAGGAGAATTTCCCCCAGTGAATTTGTGATTTCTCTTTTAATATAAGAATCACAGAAGGTATAAAGGACAAAGAAAAGATAATAACTCTTCTAAGATAAACATAAAGTAGAATTAGGCATACACACAGAGTGCAAGTAAATGTATTAGTTCAAACACCTCAGAATTTAGAAGGAATCTCAGGGCCCATCCAACTAATAAATTCCAATTTTATATTCCAAGATACTTGACATCTACAGTTTCCTCATTTTTTTCTGTTTTCTGTATGTATTTCCATCATTTGCTTTCTTCACCCCAGCTATTGCATGGACTTACTGTATATTTCAAAATCTAGGTCTTTGAATAATTGGATACTTTTATATTACCTTTAATTTTTTAAAGGAGCATTTTTAAACTTTCTGTCCCCCTTTCAAAGTTGAATAAAAGTTCATTACTGCATTTTATTTCTAGATATTCTAAATTTACTGTTAATATTTTTATATTGTTATATTATTACCATGAATAAGAGCCCCACGTATTTTATCTGAGAAAAAAGGGTTCCCACCTTTTATAATGGAAGAAAGGTTTTGGTCAGAGTAGGCTGGATGGGGCAAAAGTCATTGGAAAAGTCCATGAAGGAGTAAATTATATGATAAAAATTCACTAAAGTAAGTTATGAATCTCTTTGTTCCTCTTGCTGTAACAATTAAATGTAAGTGCCAATTTAGAGTGTAATTTAAAAAGAAACTTTTCTTTGGCAAAAATTTTGACAAGTCCCAAAGGCAAAGGAAAAAAGAAATTGGATCAGTGTGTAGGATGGAATTTCCCATTAAAGTCAAATGAAAGATTTGAAGCTGAAAGGGTCGATTACAACTGAGTTTCATAATTATCCAGAAAAGAAGGGGATAAGGGAGATTTGTCTAAACTGCATGGTCACTGGCCAGTAAATAAGTCATGAAGAACATACCTGTTTTACTTACAAATTCTTTGAACAAGTCTTTGCTTTCAATGTCTACTGGGGAAAAGTCTGGTTTTTGTTTGTTTTGTTTTTGTTTGTTTTGAGATGGGTTTTCACCATCTTGCCAGCGTGGTCTTTTAAGGCATGAGCTTAAGCAATCTTTCTGCCTCAGTGGCCTGAGTAGCTGGGATAGAAGTAGTGATTCCTATAGATAGGCATCACTACCCCCAGCTAAGAAAATCTTTATTCAGGTTGAAGTCTATGGCAAAGGACAGAATTTATAGTAAAGGTGGCTAAAAAGTATGATCTTTTTGGCTCCATGTAAAAGAAAATCCAAGCTTGGTAAGGAAATATTTCATCACTTAAAGTCCTGAGGTAAGGTGGATTTCATGGTTGGTTGATTCTATGTTCCAATTTCTTTCTCTTCTGTCATTAGAGAATACATTTCATTCCCATACAGACTGACCTGAGCAGTTGTACATTGCATACAGATATATCAATGTCTGGAGGAATAAAAGTAGTTTTTCTTCTTCTGTGTTTATTTGTTTCAAAGTAAAAAAACATTGTCTAGAAGTCCCTTACGAGTTTCCTCATGTTTTCTTGGCTGGAATAGGGTTCCATACCAATTGATAATCATTTGGGTTAGATGGATGCATGTGGGGATTCAGTCTCATTTAATTACAGTAACTAGTGTAGAAACTCCTCTTAAGAAGTAGATTAAGAATTTATTGATGTTTCAGAAGTGAACAGTAGAACTTGAGTCCCAACCTCACTACTTAAGAGTTATGTGATTTTGGTTAAGTTACTTAATTTCTCTAAGTATGTACTTCCCTGTTTGTAAAATGAAGATGATAGTTCTTAGGGTTGTTTTTAGAATTAAGTGAGATAAATAAAATAGCACAGATTCTAACATTTAGTAAGTATTCAATAAATATAGTTCTGTTACTGCTGCTGGTACTCTTATTGGTAAACAGTTGTATTCAAAGAAAAGTATATGATAATAGAATTTGTACTTTAAAGTGTTAGTTTTATCTTTCCCTGAAGAAGTACTGTTGAAGTCCCTAGTCCAAATATATTGGAGCTCCCATGTCCTTCTCTAGTTCTTTTGGATTCTGGTAACAAAGTACTGACACAGAATACTCTGGACTCAAAGGGATTGGAGTGCAGTGAATCTATTTCATTATAGGGCATAAAGATGAAAAGTTTGGCGATTCAAATAAAGATGAGTGTTGGGAGATCACATAAAAGAATTAAATATAACTCTTAATCTTTAATTATCCTTTTCTCTTTCCATTTGTATTTATATTAATGCCAGAACTGTCCCCCTCCCCAGTAGTAGAGCTGGAATTCAGGAATGCTCTATTCCTGAGAGCTATATCAGCCCTTTTTAAATTTTTATTTTGAGACAGGGTCTCTCTAAGTTTCCCACACTGCCCTCAAATTTGTGAACTTCCTTCTTCAGCTGGAATTATAGGAATATGCCACTGGACTTGGACAGAAACAATTTTGAAAAGGTGTACAAGTCTTATTTCAATAATATGGAACACTTACTCAGATTATTTATAAATTATTTTACTTTCTACTGGTTCTATTTTGCAGCCTTGAATTTTCTGCCTTTTTTCCCCCTCCCAGATAATTCCCTTTTCTTTCTTTCAAGGTCTCTGTTTAAACACCCCCACCCCTGTTAATGTCATGTACTTGACCATTGAGTGCAGTAATGACTTTATATCTAGTAAGTGAAATAATAATGGGAAACATAGTATATTTAATGGGAGCTACCACTAATGCAGTTTGTTTATGTGGTTGTGTCAACTAACACTTTACAATTTCTGTTTGGGGTAGCATGACAGGAAACTGAAGTGATAACATTTTATGAAAGTGTGCTATTGTATTAGTGACATATTAGTAGTTTCTCTTAATGTAGAATTCTTTTTTCTTTCCTATGATAAAAAATCTTGCTAAGATGTAATTCTTTCTCGTTTTTTTTTAAAATATATATTTGCAGATGGCCTGTTCAATCAGTATATCAGTCAACAGGAGTATAAGCCACGATGGAGTCAAATCATTCCCAAAAGCACCAAAGGTAAACTATACATTCTAGATGTGATGCTTCTTCATTAGTTTCTCAGTGTTCCTATGATAGCTCAAGTTTCATTATAATATTAATAAGAAGCAGGTGTTTAAAATAATACAAAGTTTCCTTAACTGGATGGCAGACTTAGTATTACTATAAATGCATGTGGGGTTTATATGTGTTTGTGTGGTGCTGGGGTTGAACCCAGGACCTCACACTAAGCAAGTACTCTACCACTGAACTACATCCACAGCCCTAGTTTATTGTCTTTTAAACTCTTGTTTTATTGCTCTAACACAAAATTGGCAGTTTTGATGCATGGACTATATTGTAAACTACTTTTATGGAGACACTGTTAAATTATAGGCTATGTTGTATTACCATACAGGTGGTCCTGAAAAACCTTAAGTTTGGCAAAATGACTTTCTAAACCTGAAGAAGCTTCTGAGAGAAATCAGGAACAGACCATTCTAAATCTATGGAACTTTATAAACAGATACTATTAAAAGCTAGTATAATAATTATTATGAAAACAGTGCAGTTAAATCTTCAAAGGAGTTTATATTGAGTACCATAGTGAATTTAAATTGTAAACCTTGGGACTCATGCCTTCTTATCCTGAAGGCATTTGCTGCTTCTAATAGGGACTATATTCATCAAAACTTGAAATCTGAGTTAGAGTTTAGACTTCTTAATTAATCCTTATTTTCTCATGGGGGAAATTTTTGTCAATACTTCATCTGCACTAATTACTTTGCATATAATAACACAGTGAAAAGTGTAGCATTTCTTTAGTTCAACTACCAACAGTAAAAGGAAGCACTTTTATTGATATGTAGCTTTTTTCCTTATGATCTTCATATATTGCTAAGGCCTTTTCTTTAGCTGTGAGAAAGCTTTCTTTTCTCTGATAGATTAAACAATATGCAGGGGAAAACTACATGTGAAGTTCCATAATTTTGTCTATAATATATGGACATGATTCTTGTATTTTATCAGTCACATATGAAATAATTTTCTTCAAAGACAGAGATGCATTTACAAATTATGGATTAAATATGAAAAATGAAGACATACTGAAAATGAATATGTTAGTGTTTTTGAAATCTGTTCTTGGAAGTGGCACTTTTGACTGGGAGAAGGAAAAAAAAAAAGCAAAGTTTTGGTGTTAATGAGCTGCAAAATCTAAAAAAACCCCCCAAAACCCCTAAGTATTAGAAAGGAGAAAGAAGTTGCAGGAAACTTATAAATGATTAGCCATTGAATATACTAGTAATGAAAAGATTTGGTTTTACATTTTATTTTCTGTATTTGGTCATGTACTGCCCAACATTTTTCTCAATGATGGGGGTCCCATAAGCTTATAATGGAACTGAAAAATCATATCACCTAGTATTTTCACTGAACCTTTTCTGTGTTTTGATATGCAGATACTTGATTGTCTTACAGTTGCTTACAGAATTCAGTACAAGATTGTAGTACAGGTTGTAGCTTAGAAGCAATAAGCCTTACCATTAAAACCACGTATTCAGTAAGGTACACCATCTAGGTTTGTATAAATGTACTCTGTGATGTTTACACATTGACAGAATAGCCTAAAGACACATTTCTCTGAAATTATCTCCATTCCTAAGTAGCACATGACTGTCTAAGCACTGATATTTTAGTTGTTTGTAGTACCTTTTTACTAATTCTGGTGAAATTAGTAAAAAGTTAGATGTTTTCAATTTTACATCAGTGAAATTAGCCTAAATTACATATTTGATCTAATGAGAAACTTACCAAGAAAACCTTGCACTTTCTGGTCATATCAAGTAAGATATTAAAATCCAATAACCTTAACTGGGCACAGAGCATATGCCTATAATCCTACTTACTTGGGAGGCTGAGACAGAAGGATCACAAGTTTAAGGCCAGCCTCAGTAACTTAGTGAGACCCTATCTCAAAACAAAAAGAACTAGGGATGTAGCTCAGAGGTAGGGCACTTAAAAAGCAAGTGAAAGGACCTGGCTCAATTCCCAGTAACACTCTGCCACCCCACCAAAGAAAAATAGAGAAATAGGAGGAGGAGAATCCTATAACTTTTTGAACCATTAAAATGAATTATTTCTTTATTTATATAAGCTTTGGTGTGAATTAGGATTAGATATAAGTAGAACAATAGTTTTCTCCTTCAGAAGTTTCTAAAAACTTTACTCATTATATTCCAATCTATTAAGATCCAAGTAGAAATAAAAAATCAAAGTGAAGTAAACCTTATATTTTCTCAGTCGGTACTCAAAATAGCTAATAAATTATGTGGGAAGTGATTTCTGAAGTAATGGCATAAAATAATTGCAATAAAGAAATTATTAATATAAAACTTGATAACATCCTAGTTTTATTTATTTATTTTAAATGTTTATTCCTTAGTTTTAGGTGGACACAATATTTTATTTTTATGTGGTGCTGAGGGTCAAACCTAGTGCCCCATGCATGCCAGACCAGCACGCTACCACTTGAGCCATATCCCAAGCCTCATCCTAGTTTTAAATAGCTCATTTTATGAACCTTAAAATTGCTCATTATACTAATAAAATATGTCTGAAATATAGACATGAGTTCTAATTTTGAGATTATTTTACATTTTTACTTTGGCATTCAAGTAATTTAGAGATTTCATCTTAGGTTTTTATAAGATATCCAGAATCTTTGCTGACTGATAGCTTTATTCATAAATAAATTGAAAATAGCTTCTAGTTGTGTTAATAGCCTAAAAGCAATAGGAAGAAAAATCAAAATAATTATTAGAAATATAGATTTAAGTTGATGTCTTTTTACTTACTTTTAACATTTTGAAAGAATAAATGTAGGTATTTTCACTATCCATTATAGACTTATGAATTAAGCTACTCTGGATTTGCAGTTGCTTTTTATTATTTCTTTTAAAGAAAATATGTTTCTGCTTCAGGTGATGGAGAAGATAACCGACCAGGAATGAGAGGGGGCCATCAGATGGTTATTGATGTTCAAACAGGTGAGTAACACTTGTAATGGAAGCAGAATCTTTTTCAAAATTATACATATTTTTTCAGGGTCTCAGTGTAATTGTAGAAGTCAAAGTATTATGTTAAACATCAATAGTAAATTCAGATAATAGACACTAATACCTCATTAGCGTACATTTTTAAATGTCAGATAAAATGAATATACTTTTTTCCATTCATTCTAATGGTTAAATGTTATTGATTATAATCAAGTAACAAAATAAGCACTGTTTGGAGGTATAACCTAAACCATACAGTAGCTAGATGAGAAAGGAGATGCTGCACAAATGATTTTAGGTAACCTAAAAGAAATATTAATGTGCAGACCTTTATGTGTGTGTGTGTGTGTGTGTGTGTGTGTGTGTGTGTGTGTGTGTAGTTTACATGTATTGAATTTTCAAGGAAAATTTTGAAGTATTTCTGGATTTTCAGTGCACTTATATTTTAATATAACTGTATGGAAATTGTTGGGATTTAGAGAATTAAATTATATTTTTAGGGAGATATCAAATTAGGAATTGAAGTGTTCAGAAATCTTTAATTGTTTAACATTCTTCATAGCATATAAATAATTTATTTTATGTGTTGTTCTTTGCTGCCTTTGAAATTTTATTCTGAAGCTTGCCTATCAAAAGTTTTTCTTACTTTTCTAGAGCCTAGGACAACTTAATTACTATTATATTAGTGAATCATTACAAAAGTATAATACTTTTCAAATTAAAATCTTGAAAACAAATAATACCAAGAATCTAGGATAATTGTGTTTATTGTTTGATTTTAGAAAATGTTACTTCATGGAATGCCAGTATCCATCCAAGTGACTTTTACTTTTTCCTTATCCACATAATAACCTGTCTTGTCCATTTTTAGCCTCTAAGATCAGACGAGGTCAGGTGGATTCAGTGTGGTATTGCTGTAGACACATTTTACTTTTTCTTAATTATTTTTTGAGGTCTCACTAAATTACTGAGGTTGGTCTCCAACTTGTGATCTTCTTGCCTCAGCTTCCTGATTTGCTGGGATTATAGGTGTGTACCACCATGCCAGGAATATTTTACTTTTTCTTAGAGTCATAAATTCTTGGTTCTGTTGCTGTGTCATGTTGACTCAAAGTCCTTTGGGAATTTTTTTTAATTGCTTTTGTAGATTTGTGTTGTAAAATAATTAAGAAAAAATCGTAATAGCATGTCATGAATATTTTCATAAAGGTTTTAAAAACAATGAGAGATTATTTTTCCTTTGAAATTTGCTGCTAAATATGTGTAGTAACCTATGAGCCAGTTTGAGAATATTGTTAGGATCTCTTTGTCAAAAGTTTATTTCAAGGTATAAGAATTCATCTTCCTAACTTGGCCCGTCTCTCCAAACACCCATCTAATCCATAGAAATGGGCTCAAAACTACTATAGAGTCTTGGGCATTTTCTCCCCTGCCTGAGAATCTAATAAATGTGCTTGTGTTTGTTTATTGAAGAGTCAGATTTATGTACAAATGTTTTCTTTATAATAGAAAAGTTAGATGTTTTATAAATATAGACATAAAATTTTGTTTTTAGATTGTGTGTAGTAGCCATATTAGTCAGAATTTTGTTGCTGTGACCAAAATTTACCTGACAAGAACAATTGGAGGAAAAGTTTATTTTGGATCATGGTTTCAGAGGGGTCAGCCTATAGTTAATGACTCCATTTCTCTGGAGCCACGATGCTGCAGAACATTGTGGTAGAAGGATATGTGGAAGAAAACTGCTCAGCATTTGGCAGCTGGAAAGCACAGGGAAATTGAGGAGATAGGGATAAGATACAGTGTAAGGCCATGGCCCCAGTGACCTACTTCCTCGAGCCACACCCCCTGAGTAGAGTTAGTACCCAGTAGCCCATTCAAATTATTAATCCATCAGATGGATTGATCCACTGATTAGGTTAAAGCCCTAAAAGCCTCACCTCTGAAACTTGCTATATTGGGGACCATACTTCTAACACATGAGATTTTGGAGGACATTTCAGGTACAAACCATAGGAGTAGCCTTTTCCCTCTTGAACAAAGTGGGATTTGTAATATCTTTCTTTTGTTTCCCCTCAGTTCTATAAAGAAAGTTTTATCAAACTCATCTGTAAAAAAAAAATGCTAATATTATAATAAAGAACAGTGTTTATTTGAAAAGATCCTTAAATTTTCTAAGCAAAATGCACTTTCCTTAAATGTGAAAGTAATATGGTTAACTTTAACATTTAAAGCCCACCTTAGCCAGGCACAGTGGCTCACACCTATAATCCCAGTGGCTTGAGAGGCTGAGGCAGTAGGATCTTGAGTTCAAAGCAAAAGCGAGGCACTAAGCAACTCAGTGAGACTCTGTCTCTTATAAAGATGCAAAACAGGGCTGAGGATGTGGCTCAGTGGTTGAGTGCCCCCGAGTTCAATCCCTGGTAACCCACTCCTCAAAAAAGCCCACCTTATCTGAGGGCAAAAGTGGTGTTTACCGTGCTGTTTATGGGAGATGGACTGTATACGAGGTAAAGTACATATGTAAAAAAAGAGAGAAAATTATTTCCTTTTTTTAAAAAAACAATACGTGAAATTTGAAGATAAACTGAAAAGATTTCAAATATCATGACAGAGTTTAGAGTGAGCAAAGTAAAGATTAAAAATTAACATATCAGGTAAGAAATTCTTGAAGTGAAATTTTTAACAGTAGAATAGTATAGGTTCAAATATTTTTCTATAACCTTTGTTTTATGCACTAGGGGTAGAATTTAACCTCTACTTGCTTTTTAAAAATTCCCAGAGAGCAGAAAAGAGTTTTTAGTAATTTGCTTATTTGATTTACTATATAAAGTGTAATTGTAAGAAATGACTGTAATAATCATGTGATTTAATTCTGGTGGAATCTCTTAGTAGCTTCTGAAAGGGAAATAGAACATATCTACACTTCATTATTAGTACTAGTTTATAGAAAGTAACAGAAGTACTTTCAAAATATATTTTTAAGCAACTCTTTTTCTATTTCTAAAATAGAAATTTTAGGAGCTGAACATGGTGGTGCATGCTTGTAATCCTGGCAACTTTGGGAGGCTGAGGCAGGAGGATTGCCAAGTTCCAGGCCAGTCTTGGCAACTTAGCGAGATCCTGTCTCAAAATAAAAATTTAAAAAGGACTGAGGATGTAGCTCAGTGGTGAATTGCCCCTAGGTTCAATTCCTTGTACCAAAAAAGAAAAGAAAATTGGGAGACTTATCTCACTAATAAAAGCATTTTATTCAGAGTCATTTTGTTCAAGTCGTCCCCCTCCACTACACCCCCATTGGTTTACTTTTTGAATGAATGCTAGGTAAAGCTTTATTTAAGTCTCTGGATGAAAACAAAACTTTTCAGCCTTTAAAAGGAATCAAAAACTTAACAGAGTAATATATAGCTACATAATCATGGGTGGTCATTTAATATTAAGAATTGTTTTTCATTGTGTCATATTTCTGCTTAGATGGTAGAAAAAGTACTAGCTATACATGAATGTTAAGATCAAAAGGATTTAATTAGATTGAAGTGACCCTTGTAGGAGTAAGAGAGATGCTGTGTAAAACATTTTTGTGTGAAATTCCTCCTCCTTTTTGTGTTTGAAAGATGATGCTGAGATCCCCATTTTCTTATCTTGATATGAGAATTGGGATAGACATGGATTCCTTTTAAAGAAGTAGATCCCTTTTAAAATTTATTGATGGTAACATAGATGGTAACACTTGAAGGAGACATACCAAAATAATGATGTTGATTATTTCTGTGTGATGCATTCACCAGTGACTTTAAATGTTCTTTAAAATGTTTAAATTATTAAAACATTTCCATGATTGATATGTACTATAAGAACCATTGTTCTTTTTAGGAAGGGAATTATGTTTGCTTATGAATGTTCTTTAGTAACAAAGTAAAACAGTCAGGAGAACTGATTTTAGAAAAGAATTGGTTTGTTCGGATAGGAGAAAGGAAAAGGAGGCAGGAGCAAAGTAGTGTAGCCAGCAGAATTGCAGAATGCCATGCTTTGTGACATGACTTTTTCTTTGCTCCTCAAAATCCTGGATTTTTTTCTGTATTAAAGTTGATTTGGGAGAGTTGAGTTTAAACTGGAGTCTTACTATGTTGCTCACGCTGGTCTTGAACTCCTGAGCTCAAGCCATCTTCCTGCCTCAGCCTCCCAAATAGCTGGAAATTCACGTGCATGTTACCATGCCCAGCTTAATTTGTGAGTAGGTTTTTATTTATTTATTTGTTTGTTTGTTTATTTGTAGGAATTGGTGAGATAGCTAGGCTTTGAGGTCCATATTGAATAGGGAGGGCAGAAGTGAGGTAGCTTTTGAAGGTTCAGGTGTCTAGAAGGAAAAATGCCCTGGGACTTTAATAAGTCATAGAGAAGGCTTTGAGCTTTTGAATGACTCTGAAATTATGGTTCTGGTTAAATTTAAACAGGTGTCTTGTTGTGAGGGTCAGTGATCCAGGAATCTGCTCTGATCAAGAGAAAACAAAAGAACCCCAAAACACTTTTAAAAATAATACTTTCATATTCTTTTCTTTCAACTAATCAGTGCTATCCATGTTTCTGTTGTGCGGAAGTTTTGTGAATGGCCATAAAGGGGGCCCATGGCAGTCTTGAAATAGTATACAAAGTTTTTGTATTGTATAAGTTTTCTGGGAAGATTCATTATATTTTTAAGTTTTAAGTATCTGTTATTTTTTTAATTGTACATATACTGAATTAGGTATTTAGATAAAATTTCAAATAAATACCTTATTCCATATGGATGATATTCATTATTGAAATAAAATTATTATATAGTAAGTTATCATCAGCTTTTTTCCAGATTATTTGTTGCTAAAATCAGAGGTACAAAAGAGAGGAGTAGGAAATGAAGTCAGAATAGAAGAGAGAGGACAGATTGTATTGTATCTTGTAGGCTTTGTTTAGGACTTTAGCCTATAGTCAGAGTGAGATGGGAGCCATGTTGGGTTATGAGAAATGCTATAAACTGCCTTTGCATTTTAACAAAACAAAATGAATCAAGGGCAGAAGCACAGAACCATTTTAGGAAGCTCTGCCTGAGAAATGATAAAAGAATTTGGTTACTGTTAGAGTGGTAGTGTATTGTTGA